CCCCATTTTACAGGCTGAGAAACGGAAGCATAGAGAGCTGGAGTGACTTGCCCCAGGCCACACAGTTAAGGGGAAGCTTTGTAAATAACAGAGGACCCTGCTGGGGTATTTTTTTTTTCTTAGCCTACCCCAGAAAACAGGAAGGAATCCTCACCCTACTTGTCCCAGTCCTGACCAGGTGAGGAAAAATGTCAGCCCTCTCAAGAAAGAGGGCCTCTGGGAAGGGAGAGGCAGCCAGCTCTGACTCCAGCGCTTCCTCCAGGTTGCCGTCCTGGCTTGACTCTGCCCAGCCCAGCCTTCCCTAGAATTCAGTGTGGGCCTTTGGGGCATGGGGGGTTGGGGGGACCAGGCCTGCAGAGGATGTACTTCCGGGTGCACCAATCCCATGCCCACTTGGGGATGGGGGAGTGTACTGTTAATAAATACCTTCTCTCATATGAGTCGGGGGTCAGGTTCCATTCACTCATGCACATTCTGGGCGGGACTGTTCAGGGCAGCCTCCACATCTCGAATTGACGCCCACATTTCCCTCTCTGGGTGTCAATTTCCTTATCTGGGAGGGGGGGTGATAACAGTGATAACCCCACCCCTAATCTGGAAGGTGAAAGCCCAGGAGAAGGGAGGCAACACTTGGAGCTTGGAGCTTGGAGCTTGGAGCTTGGAGCCGGAGCGGTGCCGGTGCAGGTGCCGGGCCGGGGGCGGGGGCAGAGTCGGGGGCAGTGCTGGGAGGCAGGAAGAAGGCTATTGGGTTACTCTTGAAACAGAAACTTCCAGGAGAAGTTAATAGCCTGGCATGGCGGGGGGTCAGAACCTCCAGAATCTTTGGACCCAGAAGCTTTACGGGCCTCCCAGCCACCAGGTGATACCATTACCCTCTACATTCTACAAAAATGATCCTGGGGCTGAAAGGGTCTATGTCACCTGCCCGTAGCCACAGGGGGGCCCATCCAGCCACTGCAGATGGGCTTAGAGATTAAAACAGCCCAGGAGACCAGGCATGGTGGCTCACACCTGTAATCTCAGCACTTTGGGAGGCTGAGGTGAGAGGATCACTTGAGCCCAAGAGGCTGAGGCTGCAGTGAGTTATGATCATGCTACAGACTCCAGCCTGGGTGACAGAGCGAGACCCTGTCTCTAACCACAGCCCCTACCCACCAAAAAAAAACCAAAAACCAAAAACCAAAAAAAACCCAGGAATTATACGCAAAGGATGCACGTGCTTCTGGTGAGGAAGTCTCTAGGCCCGTGAAGCCGCCCATCGTCCTGACGTACACTTGGGCGGTGCTGCGGCAGGGCTGGGGGAAGGGAGGCTCATGCCGCACACAGGACTATTTTCTTGGTGGGATGAGGCTTTGCCAAGGCAGTCCTGCTTCCAGGGACAGGGGTCTCTAAGGCCCAGGGCAGAGTTAAGGAGAGAAGACCTCAAATCTTCAGGAGGACACACAGGGCAGGTGGCCCCCAGCTCCAGCTGGGGCGTTGGTCAGGGAGGGGTGCTGGCAGCGTGAGAAGGGAAGCTGTCAGAAGAGGAACCCACTTTTACTCACTCTGCTGGGGCCACCGGTGCTTCCCCAGGAAGACAGGGGCTGCGCAGCCCCAACTGGGAGTTGAGACCACCTTCTGGGTGACCCCAGCCTTGGCTCAGCCCAGGCCTCCGGTGCTTCTGGGGCTCACGACGCCCACCTGTCCCTGGTTCCTTGTCTTAGCAACTCCTACTCCATGGCCCGCCAATTTTCTTTCTGTTCCCATCTCAGGCTGAGAAGGGGACCACTGCTCCCAGGGCAACCCCCACCCCATTCTGTGCCCCTCCAACCCTGGACCCCACACCTTGGCCCCGATAAGCTCAGTCTCCCATCTGCGTCTTCACAGCCCACCTCACCCCGCCTCTCCCTGCCCAGGAAACTTCAGACTTCACCGCAGCTTCCTGCCTCAGAGGATGTCGGGGCCCGGGTGAGGCCAACAGAGCAGTGGGTGCCACGGCCCCCGCCCTTTCCCCTCTGAGCCCTGAGAGCCCTGTCACCCCATCTGCCCACCCTCCGCTGTGGTGTCCCTAACTACTTCCTCAGGATGGAGACAGCCAGACAGGCCTTCCACCAGGGCTCCTGTGGGCAGGTCTGGGTGTGGAGAAATTCAGCCTCCGAGAGCCACCCCTGTCTCACAGCTCTGGTGGCCACCAGTTGGGAAGACGCCCCTTCCGCCACTGGGTGTAGCCCATTGGGTTCTAGAACTTTCTACAACTACGTTTACTAGACTCATTTCTGGCTTGGCCATTCCCTCACCCTCTTGGCCTTTTGCCTCTCTCTATGTGACCTCCTGGCCATGGCTTTCTGTCATGTTCTCCCGAGAGCCGTCCACCTGCAGGCAGAGATAAATCATCTCCGGCATTTGGATCTATTACCCATTCATTCCATCACCTTCCAAGCCTTGCTCCATGACAAGCACTGGGACCTGGGCTCTCCCTGGTGGCACTCACTGACCAGGGAATTTCCTCCTATGAGCAGGCCTTCCCCGGTCATGGGGGGACACCCCCTACAGGGAGCAGCCAGATTTCTTCTCCCTGGGTACCCCTCCTTGGTCTGTCAGACTATGAGGCCAACCTCCTCCCATGAGCCCTGCTTCTCTGCTGCTTGGAAGAGACTTGCCAGGGAAGACAGATCTCCCCACTGCAGCAGGGGCTGGGGGCCAGCTCAGGGCATGGCACTGTAGATTCCAAAGCACAGGATCGAGCTAGGGCTGGGCAGGGATGGTAGAAGGGTCTTTTTAATTTTTTTTATTTTTAATTTTTTGAAACAGGGTCACGCTCTGTTGCCCAGGCTGGAATGCAGTGGCGTGATCTTAACTCACTGCAACTTCTGCCTCCTGGGTTCAAGCAATCCTGGCTAATTTTTGTATTTTTTGTATTTTTAGTAGAGATGGGGTTTCGTCATGTTGCCCAGGCTGGTCTTGAACTCCTGGCTTCAAGCAATCCTCCTGCCTCAGCCTCCCAAAGTGCTAGGAAACGGAGTCTCGCCCTGTCGCCCAGGCTGGAGTGCAATGGCACAATCTCGGCTCACTGCAAGCTCCACCTCCTGGGTTCAAATGATTCTCCTGCCTCAGCCTCCCGAGTAGCTGGGATTACAGGTGCCCGCCATCATGCCCAGCTAATTTTTGGATTTTTAGTAGAGATGGGGTTTCACCATGTCGGGCAGGTCGGTGGACATAATATATTAATCTGATTTAATCCTCATGACCCTCTTAGTGCTCATGACAGATCAGGAAACTGAGGCCCAGACATCCCCAATGATACGTAGCCAATAGAGCTGCGGTCAAAGCCCAGATCTGACTCCAAAGAGGGTGGCAGGAACAGGATGGGACCGTGGATGGGATCCCCATAGTGCCGGTGGTCGCCTGCTCCTGGTAACTGTAGCAGGGGACGCTCCTCCATCCCTCCGGTAGCAGCTCTTTGCACAAGTTCTTCCTACATCACCTTGCAGCTTTCCAGAATCTCCACACCACAATCTACTCTGACATGTTCCTTGAGCATCGCTCTCTGGGAAAGGCCAGAAAGGCCATCCCTGTTCTCATGATGTGGAGGCTGCCCTGAACAGTGAACCCCGGGACCTGATAGGGGAGGCCCTGAGGGCAGAGGAGGAGGAAAGAAAAAGCCTCCTGGCTCTTGCAGGGCAGTGGGCTGCTGTAAATGTCTCCACTCAGGAGCACTTGACTCAAAAAGTGGGGTTAATGACCTTGCCCCTCCCTGGCTCCTGGACAAGAAACATGAAAGTAAAAGTGTCCCAGACCATGACTCTTACTACCCTCTGGGCCACGCCTCGGGAATTCCTCTGATGTCTCAGCTCTCTCAGCTCACCAGGGGCTAGAGACAGGCCCTGTTTTGGGGGTGGCCCTACAGGGCCCACATCCCACAAAGACAGGTTTCTCAGAGACCACGGTAGGACCTGCTGAAGTCGGAATGGAGGGGGCTCTGAGCTAGAACAGCCCCTTTTCGGGTCCTCTCCAAGGTCTACCTAGGGGTGGAGGTGTCTGGATTTTGGTTCCATCCTACGTCAGTGTCTGACCTCACCTCACACATACAAGGCTTGGCTGGCAGGAGAGGGCCACCTGGTGACGTGGTTCCCTGCAGGTCACTAAACACTGAGTCACAGAGGTGGGGTGAGGCCTCACCTGGGGATGTCAACCTTTGGTCCCCAATGTTGATGAAGCCCAGAAGGGAGTCAGGGTCCTCCCACTGACTGCGTTTCTCCCGTCCCCGCCCCTCACAACACCGACTCCCAAGCAATTGCACATAAATCCGTAGACCACCCACGGGGGGCTGCAGGTGGCAGGCAGAGCCTGGTGTGGGGCCCCTGCCCCCAGTGCTCTGTTCCTTCCTCAGTTCATTTTCTACACTGTCTGGTTTTGTCCCAGGGAACTGGGAAAGCACAGAAATAATTGTAGCCACACAATTCCAGAACCACCAACTGCAAGCCGTGGAATCCTGGGAGTTGCAGACACAGAACTCGCATCCACAGGACCCCAGAGCCTCAGGCTGCAGAGCGCGGGCCACAGAGCCCTGGAGCCACAGGCTGATTTGCAGCCGGGAGCATTCCAGAACCACAAGACCCAGACACACAGCCCAGGCAATCCGAGCACCAGGGGGCTCAAATCTGCAGCCCACAGAGTCTGCAGAGACCACAGCAGGCAGCGCAGCAATCCTGGAACCATGGGAGGCCCAAGAGCAGCCCACTGCTTTCTAGAACCACAACAGAGGAACGAGCTGTGGGCTCTCAGCACAGAGCTGGGAGGGTGGCCCCGGAGTTCACCTCCTCCTCCACACTCTCCACTTATATATAGGGCTTGGCCTCTAGGGTCGCGCAGCCAGCGCCCCTGAGCGGCCTCCAGGAGTGAAGAGCCGGCCAGGACCCTGGCAAGGCTGCTGGGCAGGGACGCCCGGTGGGGGACGCCCGGGAGGGGAAACCCTTCGGGCGGGCGGACCCCCGGGACCCCGGGGGCGCAGACGCACTCACCGGCCGTGTCGTAGAGATTCAGGGTGACTTCCTTGGTGCCAACGGTCACGCTGGCCGTGTACTTCTCGAACACCGACGGGGCATAGTGCTGCGGGAGAGGGGGTCGGTTGGTCCTTAGTGGGGCCTGCGGGGGCCAAGGTTCCAACTAAACCCACTGTCCACCCCCCTCACTCGTCCCGGATCAGCACGCCCTCACCCCGCTGGGCTCTGGAATTCCCGAGGGGCGCCCCGGGGTGGCGGCCGCCTCTCCGTACTCGCGACGCCGGGGACCGAGGGTCGGGGCTCTGGGCTCAGGCTGAGGGGCGTCCATCGCCCCCACCCCAGCCCCGCTGCGGGCCTCACCTCGGGGAAGGAGCCCTGGCTGTACACCATGAGCAGCGAGGTCTTGCCGCAGCCGCCGTCACCCACGATCACGATCTTCAGCTCCTTCCTGCCCGGACCGGGGGCGGCGGTCGGGGCCGGGGCCCCGGGGGCATCCATAGCCCGGAGCCCGCAGCACTGGCGGCTGCGCGCCCAGCACTAGCGGAGCCAAGAGGTCGGGGGCGGGGCGGGGCCGGAACTAGCCCCGCCCACTCAGAGCGGCGCCACCTCCGCCAGGCAGCCTCCCGGCCGACCTCCCAGCCTCAGTTTCCTTTCTGCTAAGGTCCCAGCCCTGGGTGTGGGTATTCAGCTCTCAGTCCCAGGGATACTGCGGCACCGGAGAAACGGGGCTCAGCTGCGAGAGAAGCTCCCACCCCCATCCCACCGCCACCCTCTGCGCGTCACGGCGCGCCCCTCGCCGGCGAGACCCGATCGTGGCTGCCCAGCGACTCCAGGTGCCCCTGATTGGCAGGCTCCGCCTACGGCAGGGACCCTCTGATTGGCCGGCGCGGCCAGACAGGACCTCCCGGATTGGCTGGCTGTGCACCTGGTGCGAGGAGCCCCAGGCCTCGAGCTCTGGGAAGAGCCCAACTTTGCACTGCCCCAGCGGCGTGGCTTGGCGCATGTCCGCCTCTGGCCTCAGTTTCCCCACAGGAGGTAGCTGCGGTGGCACCAGGGAAGATGCTGACGCGAGGGTCGTGTCTGCCCACCTCGCCTGGGCTAGGGACGCCTGCGTGTACGCGGGTTCGGGGTGTGGAACTGGGCTCCGCTTACCCGCACCCCGACCCCGGGCTGCAGGGTGGACGTCCAGCGCCCTCTGCCGGGCAATCGTCTCGGCGCCGGCCGCAGGTTGACCCCAAACCACGAAGGGCGGGCGCCTCCTTCCGACAGGAGCCAGAGGCGTGAACCACGCAAGACGCCGTCAGGGAGGGGCAGGTTGGAGTAGCTCTAGTTGAAGTCAGCTTGATCCCTCTCCTTGAGCTTTGGAGACTAACCCCACACCCATCAAGAAATGTAAGAAAATGCGTTTCCTTGCCAGCAGCCACATGTCCTTCATCTCAGGAATCCCCCCAACTCTCCCGTCCCATGATCAAAACAGCTTTTGTTGAGCACTTACTGTAGGCAGTGCTATCAGGGCTGCTGGCTGAATCACCCGTAACCCCCACCCCTCGTCTTACCCCTCACCCCGGGCAGGATGACTGCCCTCTGCACCAGCCAGGTGAGTGGACAGGGTGGCAGAGGGACCTCCCTGGAGCTGCTCCACGGCAGATAGGCACGGGAGCATGGCCGAGAGTTGGATCCTACCAGCTGGGGTAGAAGAGCCCATTTCTAACAAAACCTCAATAGCAGCATAGTTGGGGGCAAGTGACCTTCCGTAGTTTCCGCAGATAGGGGCTGGCAGGACTCAAGATCTTTTTGCTGGCGATCCCACCCCAAAGACTCCCAGTTTTCAAGATCCCGGCAAGGCTCATGTAAACCTCACTTTCGTGGAGGAAAACCGCCAACCTGGCAGTTCCATGGTCAAGGTTCTCAGCCGCTGCAAGGAAGGCACGGTCTGACCACCAGAGGGCAGCAGCGACCGCCCACAGAATCCCAAGACCACGGCAGAGCTGGGAAGGGGAGGCCAGAAGGCACCCCAGATTCTCAGTGGACGCCCTCTCCGGGCACTGGGCAAAGGGGAGTCTCTTGGGTCAAGCACCCCCTAGACAAATGCACAGCAACTTATCCACTCCTTTTTCGCAACACGTTTATTGAGAGGCAGTTATGCTCCAGCTTTCCAGGAAGTCAGGTTGGGAGAGGGGAACCCTTTACAGAAGGCTGAGTGCTGGCTGGCACACTGGGCTTGGCAGCACTGGAGGGCAGGCAGGAAAAGTAGGGTGGGTAACCCGGCCTGACAAATGCACGGCAGCTAGAAAACCTCTTCAGGTTCTGGGGTGGCTGGGCCATGAGAGGGGAGGCCAGGCAGGGCTGTCAAGGTAACGGGGTTCAGATCATGGAGGAGTTGCCTGCCAGGCTCCATGGGACTGGGGGACAGAAGGAGAGGAGCACAGCCACCAGCCGGGCCCTGAGGTCCCCAGGGTGACCAGGGAGGAGCTGTGACTGGCTGGGGAGGCAGGGCTGGGGCCGAGGTTCCCTAGGACCACAGGAGGTAGCCAAGGCATTCCAGGTGGTGGAAGAGGACCAGAAGCTGGTGAGTGGGTCACTCGAGCCCAAAGGGGGGCTCCTGACTGTCCTCAAAAGCCTCAGACCTCAGTATCCACTTTTTCCATCCAAGAAATGGGGCTGTGAATCTCTGCTTATGACAGCACAAGCTGGCACGAAAGTGGAGGCGGGAAATGAGAACAAGTGTGCTTTCCCAGCCCGGCCTGGGCCCAGGCAGAACAGCCGATACTGGCCCCAGTCTGCCTACCCACCCCTGCTGGCCAGGAGGCTGGCAGAACCCCAGTCCCACCTGCCTGGAGCGCGTTTGATTTGGACTCGACTGTTGTGGTGATGGAAGGGGCTGGATCTGTAGCTAAAAATACCTCAGAGCTAAGCCAGCTGCTCGGAGCTTCCTTGGAGGCTGGGCCCCGCTGGGCCCGCTGAGGAACTGGGCACACCCACCCAGGAGGCAGCTCCCTTACCTGCTAGAGGTTGAGGACCCGTGTCACTCCCCTTCCAGTCACCAGGAATTCCTGGAGAGTTTGAGAAGGCAAGAAAGATTCTTTAAGCTGGTTCTTCACACAAGGGCTCTTGGGTCACTGAAGCCTGGGGGAGCGGCCAAGTGGTATTTGTGGGGGGTCAGCTCATCGGTGTCCACACCGGGGCCTACGCCATAGTGCGGCCAACAGGGAAACCGAGCCCCGGAGAGCTGAGGGGCTTAGCCACTGCTGTGTTGTCAGAGCAAAGCCCAGCCAGCCCCAGTGAGGCTGTGGCACCCACTTCCCTGGGTGCCTGAGAACCCTGCAGAGGGGCCACCCACATGAGGCAGGAGACACTGAGCCTTCAGGGATGAAGCTACTCCCTGAGGTCCCCGGGACGGGAGCTGGCCTGGCAAGTACATCTACCAAGCCCGAGCAGTCCCCCCGCCTTGGCTGCCCATGAGCACTTGGGGACGGGCCAGAGGCAAGGCCACTCCTTGAGTGCTAAAAGTTCCCCTCACAAAAGCCAGATTCAGCAACAACTCAGAACGTTATTGTCTGCCGGGCGCGGCGGCTCACGCCTGGAATCCAGCACTTCGGGAGGCCGAGGCGGGCGGATCACCTGAGGTCAGTTCGAGACCAGCCTGACCAACATGGAGAAACCCTGTCTCTAAAAATACAAAATTAGCCGGGCATGGTGGCACATGCCTGTAATCCCAGCTACTCTGAGGCTGAGGCTAAGAATCGCTTGAACTCTGGAGGCGGCGGCTGCGGTGAGCCCAGATGCACCATTGCCTGGTCAACAAGAGTGAAACTCTATCTCAAAAAAAAAAAAAAAAAAATTATTGCCTATTGCCGGACCTGCTCCTCCCAGCGCTCAGGTGCAGGAGTTTGCTGGAGGTCACATGCCAGCTAGAGACGCACTGGGCCAGGCGACTTGAGATGGTGGGGCCGTCTCACTGCACAGCCTAGGCAGAGGCTGTGTCTCCACCCAGAGGGTCCGAAAGGTCACGTTCCGCACTAGGATTCCGGGCGGAGGGGCCGGAAGAGGCGGGGACGCCAGCGACTCAGTAGTAAAGCAAGTCCTGCCACCTCCTGGCCGGCCCTTCCGCTGGCGTGGCCCTCTCTCTGCAGGCCTCAGGGCCGGGCGCCAGGAGCAGCCCCGCCCCACGTTCGCTGGGTGACCGGTGGGCGGGGCGCCCTCGAGGGACCAGCAGGAACAGCAGCAAGAGGACAAACTGCCCCACCCTCCCTGCCCCAGGAGGTGATGGTGGGGGGACAAAGAAAAGGGACCAAAGCACAGGGAGAGGGTACAGGGAGAGGAGTAGAGGAGTACAGTCCAGCCAGGTGGGTCCCGACACCGCGCTGAGAACCACATCCAGACCACAGCTGAGCACCCAACAGCTCCCTGATTGGATCCAGGGAGGGGAGAAACTGGCTGGAGCCCTCCAGGGTGCAGCTGGGAGAGAGACGTACGTCAATTACTTAATTATCCAAAGCAGGTGGGCAGTAAAGACCCCACCCAGAGAGCATCGAAGACTCTGCAGAGCCAAATGTAAAACAGGTTTCAGGGAGTATAGAAGAGGCTTTTGGGACATTAACAATGTGAACCTCAATTTTTATCAGGTGCTTTCGCCCTCTTGCTGTACTTGTGCAGAGGGGAGTCTGGGCAGGAACACCCTTCCCTCCCAGCAAAGGAGCTGGACCCAGGACAGCTCATCGGGGATTGAAGACCCAGCCCTGGCCCTCAGAGGAGGAGCCAACAGCACCACGCCGGTTACTTCCAACCAGACAGTCCTGGGCAGGGATGCCAGCAGACAGCTGGCACGGGAGGAAGCCCAAAATAACCCAGACAGCTGGGGTGAGGGGGTGCCATGGGCACAGGCGCTGGCTGCCAAGTCAAGCCACCTGGAACCCCATCCTGGCTCTACTGGTGGTGGCCTTGTGACCTTGGGCGAGTCACTTCTCCCCGGATCATGGGTGTGTGACCCAAATCTTGACCCCACTATGGAACAGCCTGTGCGGCTGGGGAAAGGCCTCTACCTCCAGCTGGACTCAACCACTCCAGAGGAGAACCGCATGGGCTGCCTTCCCCGGGAGCCGGAGCGCTAGATTCCCCTTTGCCCTGAGGCAGGGACATGTGCTTCCGCAGGTGGACTGGTGGGGCGGGGGAGCTCTGAGGCAGCCCAGCGCCCACCCCCTGCAGCCACTCCCAGCAATAACCACAACCACAAGGAAGGCCAACTAAAAGTTTGGGAGGAGGGCCTCCTTAAGGCACTTAATCCTCCCACCCACCCTTTCCAGCAGGCATCCTTATCATTTTAAAGGGAGACACTCACCCAAGGTCACCAGCACTATCGAGATCCTAGCTCACGGCGAACTATCTCCCTTAGCACCAAGATACCTTTAGCAAGGTCTCCCTGTTTATCCCCACAGGTCCCCAGAGCTCAGTGTAGCCCTCACAGCAGGAGTGGGGCACACCTCCCAAATAGGGGAGTGGTGTGATCTGGAGCACCTGGACGCAAATGGTTCATCAACGCAATCACAAAGCAGAGATCACATGGGGGGGTCCCAGACCAAGGGCCGCCATCTCCAGCTGTGGAGCTTCTCAAACGCTGAGATGGGAAACTATTCAGTATGTGAAGTCGGCTAGTGTTAGAATGAAATCAATTACTATGTGCCAAGCGTGGAACTTGGCACTTCTGCGTCAAAACCCCAGGTGTTACCAGGCTGGGGTCTCAAAACGTGTTCTGACCACAGCATCAGCCTCACCTGGGAACTTGTTAGAAATGCCAGTCCTCAGGACCCACCCACTGAATCAGACACTCAGGCACCAGGCCCGGTGGTCCATTTTCAATGAGTCCCCCTTCGGGTGGGATTCTGATGCCGGTTCCAGACTAAGAATCACTGATCTAGCCCTGTTTTTGGAGATGGAGAAACAGGCTTGGAGGCTATGCCGCTTACGCAAGGCCATAAGCTGTTCAATGGCTCGCCAGGTTTCAAATCCAGCTTTGTCCGGTTCTAAACACTAAGGCTTATATACAGGCCTGCCCATCTGGGGACTGGAGAAGAAAACAAGAATCCCAGGAAGGTGGTGAAGCGTCAAGGACGGCCCTTTCATAAAGAAAGCTGGCTGGGACCCCGGATCTCTGTTCTTTGCCTCCCTAGCAGCCAGACATCCGAGGATGGCTCACACTGTCACCCCAAATGCCCCACGGGGACGGCTGGAAGGGAGGCCACAACACAGTTGGGCTTTCTGGCAGTGACCTGTGTCTTTTAGAAGTAGGAGGCACCCAGGGCCCTCCCCCCGCCGAAAAACACACAACTGGGAAATACTTGCAAGTGGAGCCTCTCGTATGCTGCTAAATTCGGCAGAGAATTGCACGCCCCAAATGCCTGACAACAGAAGCTGACAGGCGGGGATGGATGGCCCTGGCGGCCCAGCAGGCGGCCCTAAGCGCTCGCAGCTGGGGGGGCGGGGCCGCAGAACCAGCCCGGCGGGTTTGGGGTTCCGCCCTCCCTGGGCTGCAGGCCAGAGCCCCCCAAATCTCCCTCACGGTCTGGGCAAGGACTCACACCTACCTTAATGGGAGGACTGTCAGGGTCAAACTAGGCCTGCCCCTGCCGTCGACAGAAGGAAAAATTGTCCATTCGGGGGGTGCCCGGCTGTCGCCCCTTCTCTGGCCCAGAACCTGGAGGGGAGGAAGGTGGAGGGCGGATCAGGGCGTGGGGGGAGAGAGATGTGACCGGCCGAAGGCACAGTGGACGGGGGCTCCGGGGCTGAAAGGGAGCCCCCCAGACATCGCCCCACCCCCAGCGGCCCGGGCGGCCGG